AAAAAAAAAATATACAAGAATATAACAGAATGGGCAGCACGGTGGCGCAGTGGTTAGCACCGTTGCCTCACAGCGAGAAGGTTCTCAGTTCAGGCCCCACCCGGGACCTTTCTGTGTGGAGTTTCCATGTTCTCCCTGTGCTTGCGTGGGTTCTCTCCGGGTATTCCGACTTCCTCCCAAAGACTCGCAGCTTAGGTTGATTGATGTCTCTAAATTGCCCATAGGAGTGCGCGTGTGTGGTTGTTCGTCTATGGGTTAGCCCTGCGGTGGATTGGCGACCTGTCCAGGGTGTACCCCACCTTCGCCCAATTGCCAGCTGGGATTGCCTCCCCCCCGCCCACCCCGTGACCCAGTTCAGGAATTAAGCGGTAGAAAATGAATGAATAACAGAATGTGTGCTGCATGGGAGCAGCATGTGCAATTATGAATGTAAAAAAATCTAGGACACCTTAGGCAGCAATACAATAAAAGAATATAATAGAGAATGTATGCTGCATGGGAGCAGCATGTGCAGTAGTCAACAGTCATTGTGCAATTATGCATGTGCAAACAATGTAAACAGTACATCACGTATTTCCTGGTAATAAATACCTCAGCTGTTTAGGAGTCTGATGGCAGAGGGAAAGATAGTTTTTCAGTCTAGTGGTCCTGCATTTCACACTTCTGAACCTTCGGCCAGAGGGCAAGGAAGTGAACAGTCCGTGCTGGGGGTGGGTTGGATCTTTGAGGATGGAGGCAGCCTTCCTACGCACCCTGCGGTGGTAAATGCTCTGCAGAGAGGGCAGTGGAGTCCTAGTGATCTTCTCCGCAGTCTTTACCACTCTCTGCAGGCACTTGCGGTCCATAGCAGTAGTGCAGACCTAGTGTGGACAGTTTGTGGGTGAGTTTGTGGGGGACAACTGTGTTGACGGCGAAGCTGTAGTCAATGAAGAGTATCCTGGTGTAGGAGTCTCCATTTTCCAGGTGAGAAAGGGAATAGTGAAGGGCAGCCGCGATGGCGTCTGAGGTGGCCCTGTTGGGTTGGTAGGCATACTGTCGGGGGTCCAGGGTGCCCAGTATACTGCTTTGAATGCAGGCCAGCACCACTCTCTCAAAACACTTCACAATAATTGGGTTGAATGCCACTGGCCTGTAGTTGCTAAGGCAGGTGACCGGGCTCTTCTTGGGAAGGGGGACGATGGTTGTGGTCTTAAAGCAGTTGGGGACAATGCTCTGGCTGAGGGAGAGGTTGAAGATGGTGGTGAGAACAT